ATTACATGTTCTAAACATTTAATGCACAATACAGACAGTTTTTTTAACAAAAAATACAAAAATAAATTAATAATAAATTACCCGGTCAGTCTCTTGTGTGATGCGGGTCTGTGCACGGGTCAGCTGGTCTTGTGTGCGCATCAGGCTCTGTTCTTTGGTGCTGATCTCTCTGTTAGCCTGAGCCAGCCGAGACTCCACGTCCCTCAAGCGCTCAGACTCCAGCTGTGCCTCACGCTGTAGATCTGACACACGCACACGCAGCTCTGAGAGAGATAGACAGTCACTAAATTACTTATGTTATCATTCTGACTGATATCTCTGGCCCTGCTGAAGTTCACAGCGCAAAACTTCCTCTCCAATCCACCAAGAACATTTATAGAAAATAAGCTATGCACATTCATGAAATTTCTGAATGACATCACAAACTAATTAACATATGACTGCCTAAATTTATGTAAAATATATATGTCTACTCTATATATGTTCATATCGAAGTTCTTACAGTTAAAACAAACTATTTAAAAAAAACACTTGTTACTTGAAATAGTTCAAGTTTATTTCTAAAGCACATTTAAAAACAGCTAAAAGCCGACCAAAGTGCTGTACACTCCGTACAAATACAATAAGTAAAATATTAATAGCATAATGTCAAATACACATAACATGACTATAACGAAATCAATTAATAAACGCCGAAGTAAAAAGATTTTTTAGACAAGATTTAAACTTCTAATATGAGATGGTAAGTTGTTCCAGAGAGTAGGACCAGCCACTTCAAACGCTCTATTTCCTCTCGTCTTTAGACAAGTGCGAAATAAACATGAAATAAATTTAAAAATACAAAAAAATAAAAAAAGTACACTTTTTTTCAGGTAGTTGCCAAGGCTTAAACTCATTTCATTTAGTTTAACTTGATGTACTAAAATAACAAACTACAAAAACATAACATAGCACATCAAAACTACTTCAAAATTAAAATGAAAATGGAAAATATAAAAATAAAAACTAATTCAATATAATAAAAAATATAATAGTATCTCAATGGTTCTAAAATAATACTGGGTCATATTTCACCTAAAAATTATTTTTAAGTATTTTAAATAAAAATATACTTATGTATATATTTTGAACTGAGTAATAAATAAAATGTACCATTAAGATTTTTTTCATTCCCGCATCATTTTCATAACAATTCAGCATTTATTTCCATTCAAATTCTAATTACTTGTAAAGAAAAAAAAAATCTTGATCCTAAAGTTTTCTTGTTAAAATATTTCCTAAAAATGGTTTTGCTTCCATTGCCTTCATGTGAAATATACAGTAGTATCTTTTTCATTTGGTCATTTTGCCACCATAGTATCAAAAACAGCCTGTTTAATTCTAAGGGTCAGAGATGGATGAATATAGTAAAAAATAACTTGTGCAAAAATGTGCTTGGCTAACTTAGAATAGATAAGAAATGAAATGCTTCAAAGTGTTGGATATGACCCCTTTAAAATCCTTCTCAACCACCTGCTACAGTGACGGTTTATTAGAGCCTCTCTAGAGGAATAATGATAATAAAGAGAAATAGTGATAATGTGTTGTAGAGCTGCAGAAAGCTGTCAGTGTCAGCTGTCTGTGGAGATGACCTCACTGATGACTCACCAACACAAAGAGACAAAACAAAGGAGAACATTCACACACACACACACACACACAGTAATACTGATCTCTCTTGCTCA